CACACACACACACACACACACACACACACACACACACACACACAGCCCCTCCGCAGCTTTACAGGAAGGCTCCTCCATAATGACTGTCGGTGTAGAAACATGAGTCAGAGGGAAGGGAAGAACGCTGAACAAACAAACCCGCAGAGCTGAACCTTGGAAATAACATGCAGAGGACCGTCTAACACCAGAGGAGGAATCTGCGGCTTCTTCTCAAAATATTTTTAGATGAGGAACTAATGTCTTCGAATTAGGACGATGTTTAGTCTGAGTGGGATATTTTTAACAATAAACTGTATTTCACAAATTTTACACACTAATGGAACCTTCTGCTTTTTCTAAAACCCCTTAAAGATGGACTTGTATTACGTTTATTTAATCACGTCACATTTAGGGCTAGTTTTGATTATTATCATATTATCATTACTATAATTAATATTTGTAATTACATATTACAATTTCTAGGGGTCTTGGATGAAATCAACTACAAGGAAATGTGCATACAATTAAGTTAATGAATATTAATATTACTAAAGTGCAATCGTTATACTTCTACAACTACAACTACTGCTACTAATAATTGTTATAATAATAATAAACAAAAATATTATAACAAAAATAATAAAATCAATAACAATTATAATTATAAAAAGACTGTCCCTTAAATGTTTAATACCTTGCCCAAAGCTATTTATAATATTACTGCAGCCCTAACACTTCTACGACTTCGACAGCTACTACTGTACCACTAATAGTAATAATGACAATAAAAACACTGTCTCTTAAATGTTAATACCTTCCCAAAATCTGTCTAATATTAACTGGAATGTTTTAGTTTTTCTTCTCTGCTGTTCTGGATAGATTTTGGGAGCGTTCTTATTAAAAGGACCCCGGATCAGGGTAGTTCATCTTAACATCAGACGTCCCTCAGCTGCTGTTAGGCAGCTCAGCTCGGTACAGTGATCCGCCACGGGGGGATGGATCTGCAGGAAGTGAGCACAGAGCCCGGCTATCGGATGTTTGAGGTGCCGATGGAGTCCCCTTCCAAACATTTGTTTTATACCATTGGAAACGTTTCCCAGGCATGATTTCCATGAGAGTATGTTCAAATGGAGCACACCATAAATAGTTTATATCTTAATTAGAAACAGATATATAATAAAAACAACCTTTTCTGCCTGTCCAAGAAAACATTTTAGTCAGTATGAAGTCATGGAGGTCTCAAAAGTGAATTAGTTTGACTATTTCATGGAATTTCTTCCTTAGACCAAAAATAATTATGAATATTTAACCAAGCAACCACTCCTTCTGTTATAGCTACTAGATACTTATTGTTGATATAGTTTAAATGTACCTAGAGTCTGAAAGTTTAACAAGCAATCAAATAAACTGAAGATGTCATGTTCTTCACACATTTTAAGACACCTGTGTTTTTGTTAAAGAAACTCTCAACAAATATCTCACAGAC